GTCTGATGACCAGACGACAAAAAGGGGCGAGAGCTCAGAAGGAGCGAGACAGCTATACAAATTAAACATTAGTATTTGAATACTAAACAATCACGATCATCTCAGCTATTATGACACCAGCTGCTGTATATATAATACTAATACTTCAGCAGCAGGCCCGGCAGTTTTGTTAACACTAAATTCACACACTAATGTCATATTCGGAATCTTATCACTAAGCATTAAGATCTCATAAACACAACCTTTGGATAGAGATCAATTTTTATGAAAACAAAACAGCTAGCCCAGTAGATATTTTAACGTTAACCCTTCATTGCATGATTTTTTCTATTTTTTTTAAATAAATCAGGGTGATGTAATTAATGCTCTAGATTAAAGGAGAAATATTTTAAAAAATCTTAGTGTAAATAAAAATATGTATTATGTAAAAAACAATATGGTGGAAATTTACATAATCATGCATTGTCACATATTTAGCTAAGTACTAAATAAATAAAAAAATATAGTTTACTCAATCTTCTTTATTCTTTATGATAATTTAAAATCAATTATTATTCTTATTTAAGCACAAATTGACGCCACGTTTATTACACGAAATTGTGGAATAGCCTTTCAATTTGGGACATTTGCACCGGAGTGATCCACCTACTTTTGGCCAATGTTCAGCACCATCTTTTCTTATGTCTTTTGGAGGTGGTGGAGCTGGAGAACCTTTTCTTTTTTTTTATTGAAATTCTTCTAGTACACTGGTACTAGGGTGCCCTCTTTTAGCTTCTTTGGTGATTCCACTGTTGCATAGCACAAAGGCCAATTCATTTCTGAATTGGCCCATTGTAAGCAGACTCTTTTTAGGTTCACCTCTTGAGCATTTTTTTTTTTATAAACGATCCAAGAGTTTATAATAGGTCAAATAAATGGAAAAAAATACGCAAATACCACTTTTTAGACCTCATTTTTATATGATTTCTGCCCAAAAAGCTATCCATGAGATCGACTCCTCCCATATGTTTATTGTACTCTTGGACAATAAACGGGCAAGTAATATCAATTTTTCCTTTTGTTATCCTGTCAAATCTACTGACTTTAGTTACAGGCAATGCTCCAGAATAAGATGATAACGGGGTTACTATCTTATTATCTTTCCAAGCCACACAGCTCAAATCTATACCATCATGCACAGACACTCTTTTCTCAAAACTACCTCTGGGCACAGATTTTTTTCTTCTCTGGAAGTTTATTATTTGGTATCCTGTTTTGTTGCACAGTTCCCACTATGTGAATTCCTGATTTAGCTAAAAAAACTACCAATGGCAAAGATGTATAAAAATTATCAAAGTATATGATGTAGTTTTGCTTTCTTGGCACTCCTCGAAGCAAACGAGCTACAACATTTCCTGTTGCACCAAGATCTGGTTCATCCGGGAGTTTCTCTGTATTCTCTTGTCCAGAATATACCTCAAACTTGTGGGCATATCCCATCAAATCACAGAGAACATATAATTTGAAGCCCCATTTATGGGGCTTCTTAGGCAGATACTGTTTTAAAAAATGCCCTATTTTGGTAGAACACATCTGTTCATCCACAGAAAGTCTTCGATTCATTGGCACTGTGGCAAACCTCTCATTGAGATGCTTCATAACATGGCGGATTTTATAAAGCCTGTCATGTTCTGGATGACCTATAGGTTTGTGAAGATCATTGTAATTAAAATGTAATGATAATTTTATTTTCTCAAACTTGTTCAGTGGCATTGTTGAAGAAATGGGCTCATATCCAAACTTTGGCGACCAGTATGATCTTGTGCTAGGAAATTTGATTACATACCAAAGAACTTATACAAATCATATTCTGTATATGTTATAGATGAACTGGGATTTCTCTGTATTATACATAAATTTGTCTCCTCTACTAATGTTTTAATAAAATCTTCAGTGATAAAATGGTTAAAACATTGATATGGAGTTTCTAGGTGTGATAGACCAGATGGTCCAGATCAATTTCTGGAAAGCATTTACCTCCCTGAAAGGGAAATATGTTTTCAAGGGGCCGTATACGGCTACATCCATGGGCTGCATCTTATGCGTTGTATGTGGAACCAAGGATATAATTCCGATGTTGTTCTTGCTAGCGTAATGGATACTTATGGCTCTCATGGTTGTCCAATAGCAGAAATATCTTTTTCTCAGGTGTAGGCCGAACATGTTTCACAAAGAAATGCATACAATCAAGAAATACCTCTCCTGAAGTCCAACCGTTTGGAGTACAGGTTCCTTGAGTGCCGGGTGGCCGCACCATCAAGTAGTCTGGGTTCCATCTTTTTCTTGGCAAAAATTAAGAATGGTGGGAGAAACGAACCAGCGGCATTACAGCAACCGATGACCGTCGTTAATTCAGAATCTGTCCACCACGTCCTGAACTGGCAATTATTCCAACCTGTTTCTTTCCTTTCGTGCTATCAAAGCACTTTAGGTGGCTTATTGGTGGTTGTCTATATACCTGTCTCATTCATGTTGTACAATCTAGATGCATCAATGTCATATTTTTCAGTCAAAGCTTCAAGGTTTTTATGAAAACATTCAACTTCACGTCTGTTAAATCCTTTAGCCCGTGCAACCGGTGTTGCTTCTGGAATTCTTAGGGAAATATGGTTGTGGCGAGACAAAAATGACGATAACCAGTCATCTCCTGCTTTTTCGTACTTGTCCCAGTTTTTTGGATACATCAAATTATTTTTCTTAGCGTATATGAATAACAAAAAATACAGCGTCCATATCCTTCAGATATGTCAATAACTCCATCTCCTGATTCTCAGTAAAAACAGGACGGAATCGACCGAATTTTGGAGCAATGGTGCCGGTTTTGACGTGCCTGTACAAGGTTGCATAGGCCAACCCATACTTTTTAGCTGTGCTCTTTATTCCCCAGCTTTGCACAAATTAATAACCGTTTTCATGACATTCTCATCCCACGACCCTTGTTTAGTTTTTTTTTAAATTTATTAACCATCTGAAACATATAAACAACATGATGAAATCACAAGTCAATAATAACAAATGGCGGGCAAAGTGGATACCATATTCGCATTGCGACTAGGTAACTTTTGAGGTTAACAAACTTTGTGCATTTTAGCAATTTTTTCTTGTACCACATGTTGTTCTGATCGTTGTGGAATCATTGTCAAGCCTTTGTATACAACATTTCAATATACTCCTACTTTCCTTTGCAATGTTTTCCATTTTCATTCGTATATAGTAAATCCCTTTGTAATAAATTGTTCCGAATACCCTTTAGTAAATGGGGAGGATTATATAATTGAACAATCTCTGACTCGTTTATTTTAAAAGTATTTTGTTATAGTTCCACGTCATTTCTTAACTTTTCGATTTTGTGTTCTTCAACCAGAGTTTAAGTGGCTTTTTGATTATAAGTTGCCTGGTCACAGACTATGCTATAATGTGAAACCCAGCTTCTTCTACTTTTTCAAATATATATTTTAAATATTGTAGTACTTGTAGCTCCAGTACAAAACATGTAAGCAATAGGTTGTTTGTGGGTTTTTATTAAGCTCCTTAACTTAAATATTATAGCATGATGTGTATGCATTGTTTTTATGTTTCTTGAAATCGCTATTACCAGGTCATCTGCTAATCTTCTGTGTTATACATTTAGCATGTAATGAAAAACTATGTATGGGAAGATTATTTATTTATGTAGATAATATCGCCGTTATATAATCATCAGTGGACGATGAGCGATGTAAAAGAGTAATAAAACATGTAACAAAATTTCGGTCATAAAAAGTCGAAGGGAAGCCCGAGTTAATGGTAGTGATTAATACTAGTCGCTTATTTAAAAATAACAGTTATTCAAATTGGACCAAGACTCGTAACTCGTCAAATTAAGTTATAAAAATTCGAAAAATAAGAAAATAAAAGTGCTTCGCTGTGTTACGTCTTAACTGTGTAATAATGTTTAATATTATAATAAGAATTTAAAATATACCTGCTCTTTTTATTGTAAGGGAGTTACTTGGTTTGCTCTTCACTGGCGGTGTATATTCAAAGCGTTATTAGTAGCAGTCAGAAGGGGGAATGTCTCTGCACCGCGAACATCGTGGAAGTCATCTGTACCGATACTCCAGATCGAAACGCCAGCTAAATTGCGACTAGTGGCGTATGCCACTTTGTGTTTTATGGATTCAAGGTCGTTATATGATACCCATTCGACATCCCTAATAGCATATGGCACTTTCGCCAAAGTATCCCTTCGCTCAGTCCAGGATGGAGTATATTCTGTATGTAGTTTGTTGCAAAGCTGTTGATAGAAATTAAAAATTGAAAACATTTGTAATTTGTGGTAAAATTTAACAATTTTTTAATATCACACACGGTTTTGAATTTAACCTTGTTATATCCAATGTCGCCTTTGTTGATACCAGCACCGCTAACAGGAGCTCTTACACCATTTTCACTGGCAGATGTCAATGTGAAAGTGTGTCCAAAGAAGGGTACATCGAGAACGAGTTTCCCCGGAGGGCAGCCTTTAAGAAAGGAATATTTTATGATGACTTCATATCTTAAAAATACCGACCTCTTGTAGTGTCTATCTGTCCGTCCACCTACGTCTATGAGGTGTGTTCACAAATAACGAGAATTTTCGATTTATGAAAAAATATTTTTTTATTTAGCTACATTAATGTTGTCGCCCTAAAAGTAGTCCCCTTCGGATACAATACGCTTGTCCCAATGCTTTTTCCAATCCTCGAAACACTTTTGAAACTCGATCTTTGTAATAGCTTTTAGCTGTTTCAGCGTTTCGCTTTTAATGTCATCTTTATTTGTAAAACGACGGCCTTTTAATGTTCTCTTTATTTTTGGAAATAGAAAAAAGTCACGTCGCGGAGCCATATCTGGCGAATATGGAAACTGAGGCATCGTTACATTTTTGTTTTTGGCCAAAAATTCACGAACAAACAATGAAGTGTGAGTTAGGTTCGACATCATATCCGTACCCAAGTTTCGTCACCTGTTATAACACGTATTCGTCGCTGTTCTTGTTCGAAATTCAACAATTTTGGAACGAATTTTGCTGCCGCACGTTCATGGCATGAGCCAACTGATATGCCGACATCATTATCGACTTCTCTAATTGTGATTCGGCGATCGTTCATAACCATTTCTTTCACTTTTTTCACATTATCATTGGTTGTTGATGTGGTTTGGCATCCGGGTCGTTCGCTATCTTCAACTTTCCGCGGCCATCTCGGAGACGCTATTACAACTCGTAAATACAGTGAAACCTGGTTAATTGGGATCTCAAGGGACCAAGACATATGTACCAATTATTGAGGGTTTCCAATAATCCAGTATTCCAATTAAACAAGTTTAAAATTATAATTGTCTCATTTACAGAGGCCCCCTCTTCCAGAGGTCGAAATGTGCCGTTATTCTATTTTTAGAGGTGGAAACGTTAATAAAAATGCGTATTTTTGGTGTTATGAATTTAATCTAGATTATGATTGTTTGTACTCGTACATACATAATGTACATATGTATTAGGAAAAAAACTATGCGTCGAAAAAAAACAATATGGTAACGTTTATGACTTAAAGTAATCGGTTATGTTTGTTTGTACTTGATTGCTAGTTGCTGAGACCTGTTTCTCTATAGAATAAATTTGATCAAAAATATTGGAATTATCAATACATGACATTTCGAAATACTTGTGTAAAGTTTCTAAAGCTTCCATTGCCTCATGTTTTGAAATTTTTACTTGAGTCTCTTCACAGTCTTCTTCTTCTTCTTCTGTGTCCATAGAAGAATACATAGCAACTATGTCACCATCATTGAGCTCCTCTGAAATGAGTACATTATCGTTCATAGAAACGAAATCCTGAAAAGTCGCCTGCTGCTCATTTCTACATGTGGTAAATATTTTATCCCATTCTGGAAAAGTTGCACAGATGTCTAGCTCCTCTTGTAGGCTCTCAGGTACATTCGTCACTTTGAATCCAGCTTTTTTGAAACAATTAGTAATTGTGGTTTTGCTAACAGAAAACCAAGCTTTTCTTGCAAATCTCATGGCCTGAAGGATGTTGATTTGTGGGCTTTTATCCTCTTCTATAGATTTGAGAACGTACTGAACAACTTCCTTCCTGTAGTAAACCTTAAAGCTGTTGATAATACCCTGATCCATGGGCTGCAATTTACTTGTAGTATTGGCGGGTAAGTACAATAATGTAACATTGTCTAATTTGGGCATATTGTTGTGAGCTGTGCAGTTGTCGACAAACATAATGATTTTTCGTTTTTGGGCCCTCATATCGGCGTTAACTTTTTTTAACCAATCTGCAAATAATTCAGAAGTCATCCAGGCCTTTTTATTGTTTTCATAATTAACAGGCAACGTTTTAATACGAGGGTCAAACTGAAAGTTCTTAGAAAATCAAAAACTGATTACATTAGCCAGTTATTAGTTTTATTATATCTTTTCAAAATATTGTCCATTCACGTCAATACACCGCTGCATGCGATGGAACCACTGGGAAAAGCACTTTGCCCACTCGTCCTTAGGGGTCTCTTCAATGGCATCGCGATACGCAGCCACCGCTTCTTCAGCATTCATAAACCGCTTTCCTTTAAGTTTTTCTTTAATTTTTGGAAATAAATAAAAATCACAAGGCGCGAGGTCGGGGCTATACGGCGGGTGACCCAGTAATTCAACGTTTGATGTCGCCAAATAGTCGATCGTTCGCTTGGCGGTGTGCGACGAGGCGTTGTCGTGGTGAAGGAGGATCCTACTGCGAGGTCGTTTCTCTCGAACTTTTTCCAAGACAAGTGGCAAACAATTGGTAGTGTACCATTCTGCAGAAACTGTTTTTTAATCCTCTAACACAATTGTTGCAAAATGACCTATCCTTCCAAAGAACGAGGCCACCATTTTTTTTTCCCGCACTTCGATCTCTCTTCACTTTAGTTGGCAACTCCTCGAAAGGAAATACCCACTGAGCAGATTGTCTTTTGGTTTTAGGATCATAACAGTAAATCCAGCTTTCGTCACCTGTTAGTATGTCGAACACAGCATTTGAGTCACCTCCGTTAAATCTTTCAATCATTTTACGACACCAATCCACACGATGGAGTTTTTGAGCCTCAGTCAAATTATGAGGTATCCACCGGGCGCAAAGCTTCCTGACCGCTAAATGTTCGTGGAGGATTTTGTGCACTTGACTCATACCGATGCCTAAGCTTGTCCGAATCTGTTGATAGGTCACTCTTCTGTCAGTCTCTATCATACGCCGCACAACACAGATGTTATCTTCAATCGTCGCCGTAGAAGGCCGTCCCTCACGTAAATCATCAGTGAGATTAGTGCGACCACGTTTAAACTCATTAAACCAGTTGTAAACAGTCGCACGAGATGGGGCTTCATCGTGAAAGGCCAATCGTAGTCTATCATAACTTTCTTGTTGACTTAAATGACATCGAAAGTCATAAAAAATCATTGCACGAAAATTTTCTCGTGTTAAATTCATGATGACGTGACACAGACAATTTTCAATTTGCCGCCAAATCGTAAAACAAATGACAAATGAATGAAATATATACTCAGTAATATTGGCAAAGAGTTATATTTTCAAATTTTAGAATTATTTTTTTATTATATTGTTTATAAGTGGCCAGTTCTAAGAACTTTCAGTTTGACCCTCGTACCCTTGAAGCATCTTGGGCTCTTAGATTTTCCAATTAAAAGAAGTGGCAGTTTTTCAGTTCCGGACATATTCGCACTCACAAGTACAGTGACCCGATCTTTACTCAATTTACCACCATGACATGGCTGACCTTTAAACGTAAATGTTTTATCTGGTAGACACTTGTAGAATAAGCCCGCTCCATCGGCATTGAATACGTCATCGGGGGAATAACCGTGTAATAAAACTGGAAGGTTTTTAATCCACTCATTACATTCATTATTGTCCACAGAATTGCTCTCGCCACAAACATTTTTGAATACGATATCGTTTCTTTTCTTAAATCCCTCCAACCACCCATTACTGCCAGAAAAATTATCAATATGGAGCTTACTTGCAAATTCTTGAGCTTTCTCTTTAATCATTGGTCCGCTTATTGGAATGTTATTATTATTCCGTAACTGCTTTATCCATGTACAGAGACACTTTTCAAGTTCAGGATACTCTGCTGCTCGTATTCGTTTGAGTTTTCCTTTTCCATCAATACACTGAGACCGAATTTTCTCATTATTTTTAATAATTCTACATAGAGTTGACTTTGGTATGTTATTCTCTCTACACAGTTCATCACGCGACTTTCCACAATCATAATCTGATAAAAGTTTTAATTTTTCAGATACTGATAACGTTTTATATTTACGTTTGGACATTTTGAACACTTTTATTCTCTTGTTTTTAGGTCAAAATCGGAGATAGTACTGACAAACAAAACACGCGAAAGTCGACGCGAAACGTTTGTTGACGAACATGTCAAAACGTGTTAAAAACTGATTAATTTGTCTCACTTATACAGGTAATTGAGCTATAAAGTCTCAATTATAGAAGCAAACATTGAAAAAGTCCTAAAATTAAAATCTCACTTAACCAGTTTCGAAAAGTTCCATTAACAGAGGTAATTTAATGAAAAAGAGCCGGGACCTCATTGCGACTACCAATAATAGAGGTTTCTCACTTATCCAGGTCCCACTTAACCAGGTTTCACTGTACTTGCTTTACTTATAGCAAATTTAATAAAATGTCTTTGATCCATTTTTTTTCACAAGCGTAAATCGCTGAGTTCGAAAAACACGTCTAACGTTAGCGGCTACCACTTAAAAAGTGAGCAATGAATATCGCTGAACTTTAACGTACTTCAGGGGCATGTGTACCAACATAATAAAAAATAATAATAATACAAGCGGATTCTTCAAACCCGCGATATTTAAAAATTCTCGTTACTTTTTGAACACACCTCGTATTTGTTACAACTATATTGCTTCAAAAATATTGGCCTGATTTAAAGAAATTTTGTCTACAGAATAACGTAAAGCATACCCAAATTATGATTGTAATTTAACTGTATTTCCGTCGTTTACAAGTCCACTGATTTTATCTTCATTGATATTATAGTTAAGATGGGCTTGTAATAGCACCTCATCAAATAACAGTTTCTCATTGTCTTTCATCTGTTCTGCATTATCTTTAAGTTGCTGATATATTTTTTCATCAAATAGTGGAGCAATTATAGCTCGTTGAACAATTTTGTCCAAGGTCTGTGTTGCTTGCAAGTGAAGAAGTTTCTTAAAATTTTCCTTTAGACTTTGTTTATATTTATTCAATCTATTACGGCTTACGATTACATTACACATTAGAAATTTACATAAAATATATTTAAAAAGGAACAAGAGGCAGAATCATGTACCTGTGTGTAGCAGATTGTAATGGTCAAAGCTCTGTACTTACATTACCGATTTTACGTGAAACACTCGTTTTCAGTCACCCAGGAGATGAGCAGAGACAAAAGATTTTTATAATTATTGAAAAACAAAAGAAATGAGAAATTAAAATGAACAATTTAGATGTAAAAAAGAAAAGGTGGTTAATGTTATAAGTCATACTGATAATTAATAAATAATATCTATAATATATAAAGGTTTATGTATAATATTAAAAATAAATTAACTAATTTAATGTCAAAATTCAGGAAAAACCAATATGAGTCATAATTTTAAATGGAATGTATAGTATAATAATAAAATAAAATACAGTGACAAGATTTAAGATAGAATAAATATAAACAACTCAGATGTAAAGAATTAGTAGTTATCAATTCTCATATCTCTAATTTAAACCTCTTCTTAAATTACAATGTTTATTTTAAAAACGTGAAGAGATAATTCCCTGTTATGGTTTGGTTCTGCTTCTTGTGTAGGTCCCACTTCCATATCCATTATTTCGTTCAATTCATTGAGTATTTTGATTCTGAAACAGAAAAAAAACAAAGAAATTATTTAAATAATTTATTATTAAATTAAAAATATTTACATTTTGCCCAAACTGAACTTGGGTTCCTTCTTTTGTCCTTGTTTCCTGCACATTTGTGTTCTCGAAAAAATTAGATACTTCAGTTCGATCGTTGGCTTTATCCCTTGTTATTTGAACGCTTTTGTCTACCGGTTTGAATTCTAGACTAAGCATAATTTTTGTGGTAAGTAAAAGTGTAATTTCTAGATCTGGTAGATGTATTTATTTTATTCGGTGGTTTAAAATTGTTTTTACTGTCCGATTCTCGTTTTTTAATTTATGTTTTCCTCTTTTAATAT